AATATTCACCATTAAACTTGGCAAGTAGTATCAATTTTCACCTTAAATTTTCAATTTCATCAAATTGTATTGGATTTGAAAATTTGAAACTTTGATAAGTGTTGCAATTTTTACCATCTATTCAATTTTCACTATTCACCACTAATTTTAACCAAAAAGAAAAAACATTAAAAACTCACCAATTTAATGAAAATCAAGCTTAAATTAAGTTTGACAATATCAACTGTTAAATAACTTCTCCAAAACTTAAAAATTGCAAAAAAAATTGAAAAAAAAAACTAGCTCTACCATCACTTTTGTCTCAATCATACCAATCTCATACAAAATATATATTTATAATTCATTTGACGCACACGAGAATACTTTTTTCAGCAATTCTTCAAATGAAAATTTTTTAGAAGTGTAAAAATTGTAAGGTGAATATTGCAACACCTATCAAAGTTTAAGGTTCAATTTGATGAAATTGAAAATTTAATTTAAAAATTGATACGCTTTGCTAAGTTTAGGATAAAAATTGATCATTTCCCTTGAAAAATTAACAAGAAACATAACATACGAGTTAACACAAGTTGCTCAGACAACACACCTTAACCTTGTTACCAATCAGAAGCAAGAAATGAAATTCAGACACTGCCATGGAACTTGGTTTAACTGTTCCAGCACTTTCAGACAACTTAGAATAGTCCAAAAGAGCCTTATTTTCAACAAAATTTTCATCTCCATTTGAAGAACTGCACAAAATGTTAGCATGAAAGGCTAATTATTAAAACAATGTAATCAATTATATCGTTCAGAACCAGTGCTGATATATTAAAAGACATTTGATATAGTGGGGGCAGCACCATCTAAGTTTAAAACACTAAACACAGGATTCAATTAGTCATTGGATTATTAAAACAAAAAGAAGGAACATTTTCCATTATCAACTAGTGTAGGTCCAACTTCCAAGTCAGCTTACGCAGCTCTTTTGAACTTCAAACAACCAGATCCTGCTACACCATTTGGATTTTTTTGAAAAATTTCCATTTGGAATCAAGAAACTATTCAAATATTTTTTTTATGTAATCAAGAGATTCATAAAATATCAATATCTACGTAATTTGCCACCAAGAGTCCAAGATGTAATTAAATTAATATCCTCAAAGATAAAATAAGAACATTCCAACTCTTACCGATGTTGTGATCCAAAATTTAACCCTCCATGATAAATGCCAGCTCCAGAAAGCCAGGCAAAATGTATTGCTCTTCTTTGCTTTATATAGAAATGCAGTTCACTGAAACAATTAAATGTCTCAAAGTTCACAAAAATGTCCCACATACAATTATTGTTCATCAATTTATAACAGTATGGATTACCAACTATTAGATGGTAAAAAGAAAATAACAAGCTAGTATTGTCTATTTAATACATGGTTAGTAACATACAGTCTACACAAAAGAACTGCACTTGCCTATTAGGTACCTCACCAGGAAGTTCCATGAAATGCACTGCACGTTCCAAATAACTAGAGAAGATAGTCTGGAAAGGCATAATTTCAAACAAACAGTATTATTAACAAAAATACAATATTAGGACAAAAGGGAAGTAACAAATTCTTCAGATCACAGATGGAAGTATTTTGAAAATAAGAAATAGTCAACTTATATTAGATAGAAGAACTAGTTCGTGGATAGCAAGAAAGTTAGAGAATATGGTGCTTCAAAGAGGGAAAATAGTGAAAATAAGAATATAATGTGCCATACATACAAGTCCAATAAAATTTCAGGATCAATATAGAAAGAAGAAATAGTTTGTCATTTGAAAAGCTACGAAATTACAAGACTCAAAACGATAAAATAGAAAGTCAATATATTTTTATATTTTACAACAGAATGCAGAAAACGAATACACACAAATGTCTGCTGCCAGCATAAAATGGCCTTAGCACATAAGTCAAGACAAAAGGCCTTGGTTAAGAAATGATTATTTACACTGATTTCAGTTGGTATCCATTCATTAGCAAAGATATTTTTTATAAGGTTAGCACAGATATTATAACGTTAGAAAATAATTACTAGTCTGCAAACTTGTTTCAAAATCTATATTAATATTTTAGAAAAATTTGCACAAAAAACTAATAAGTCTGAGCTAACTACAGAAAAGTAAAAGGTATATAAGGAACAAACAATGTTCTATAGATGTACACAAGCTCATCTTACGTAATAAAAATATAAACTGGTTGTCTATGACTATGACCAATGAATTACTACATAAAGAGTATAATAGGATTTTCCCCCTTTGAATCATTTGTACAACATATATTTCCAAAGGCCAGAGTGAGAAACTCACAAGTCACAACCATAGAATTCCAAACTTATCAACAGGTCAGGGATTAAAAATTAAATTACCTCCAACGATCCTGTTCCAGTGAAAGAGTACAGTCGTGTTGGAGTAACAGCCATTACATAATATCTCATTCCATTTAGCATTCCAGTTGTTTCCATCTGCATGAAAAGAAAGTCAAGTGAGAGTTGACAGGATTAAAATTGCAGACATATAATTGTATCCTCACCAACCAGAATAGAAAGCGGAAGAAAAAGAAGAATAGGGAGAAGGATGTTTCAACCTTCATCTAATACTTTGAAAAGTTTGCAAAATTATTCAAAGCCAAACTTGTGGAATTGTCAGCTAATTATTCGTAATGGCTTATTGAGAAAATAAATGATGAAGTTCCCAGAAAAATAGGACTATGATCAGAAATATCATAATTTTTTCTGACATTCAATTAAAATTAAAATAGTCATATTATATCAGGAAGTATAGTAGGAAGAAACGACTAAAAACATTGAAAACTACAGCACCAGAAGAAAAATACTAATGAGCACGATGTACCTGCAAGCCCATAAAAGCTTCTGGAAGTTCTGCTAATTCGAAAAGAAACTTTACATACTTTTCCTTTTTTTCCTTCTCATCCACCGCAAGTTCGAACAGTTGTCCATTTTCAGTACCAAGAATGACCTCCTTTGTAGAAGCTGCTCTTAGAATTGGTGTGTAGTAGCAAGAGTAAGTTAATTAGTGCCAACTATAATGCAAATGTCAACCAGCGAACAATAGTGGGATCTGGAAGGAACCTTCAGTTATATGTTGCCTATTCCAGGCAACAGCATTTACAACGAGACCTTTCAATGTGGTTAAAAGTCGAGGTTTAGACCACTTGGCATGCATATAAAAAGTATCAGCACCACCACCACCAACAATTGTTGTGATACAATGACTACCTCCTGGATCAACAAATACGCTGTGGATTGATTGTTCTCCAGGACGACCCACAGAGAGATCAAAATCTGTTTTTCCAAATATAAATAAATTATCATGCAATCATTCTTTCATGTTTCACTGAAATTTTTATGCGACAAAGTTATGGTCAGATAAAAGTAAACATAAAATTCAAAGCAAGATTCTGATTTAAAGAACTTCCTGATCAAACTAGTCTAATATATTTAGACATTTGAGCTAATGACTCAATTAAAGAGTGGAAATGTCAGATTCACCTACACCAGAATTCATTTTAATTACTCGACATAATAAGATTACAGCGAGAGTCATAACTCCATAACGACCACCAAGATGAGGCAAGGGATTAGTACTGTACGGGACATCACTATCCCCAAAGCTCGAGTAGATTAGAACTGAAAACCTACTTGAATCCGGTTTCATTCAGTTTGCAGCTCCTACTTGATTTCAATTCTATAAGCAATATCACTCAGTTCACGAGCCATTTCCCGTCGGGCGAAATTGTATTCCGAGACAAAAAAAAATATATAAAAGATCGGGCCTAATCTTTTCTTCGTTGTTCAAAAGTAATTAGATTGGATTGCGTACAAGTAATTTACACAGGATGGAGAATCATACCGATCGAGTCTCCAACTCCAAAGTCATAGCGGATGACCCAACCTTTGCTGGTGCCTAACAAAATGACATCGTTCCCAGCGGCCATGCAGCTGACAACTCCCCTCCCTTTGGCCGCATACCTTTCTAGAAGATCGACCGTGAACACCGGCCTCCCGGATTCCATTTCTGAAAGCTCAGCGAGTGCAAGTGCCGCACCACAGAACTCGGAACACAAACCTAAACAAATTGCCGGGAAATTTCTACTCCGACGAGCAGGCCATCGGCGATCGCACCGTTTGTTTGCGGGAAGGAATTTAATGTAGTTTCACTGTTTGACCATATCCACTCGAAACACACCGTACTTTTGCCCCCTTTTTTCTGGCGCGGTTCGACTCGGTTTTCTCCAAAATAAAAAGTCGAACATTGTGCTTCGAAATGCACATCGTACTTTTGCCCCCTGTTTGATTTTTATAATACCGGTTCAAACCGAATCGAATTCGGTCTGTTACAGTTTTCCATAATTCATCCCAAGTCTGAAAATTAAATAAGAAAAATATTATCATCCAACCGTAGAGATACTGTTATTAGAATGCAAGCTCATGAGAAATATTAAGTCCCAACTACGAGCATTTGTGAGAGAGAATAAATTGCCTAGAGAAGATTTGAGTGAGAGACGTTGAGAATACAATCAAATCTTTACACTAGAAGGATAATGGAAAGATTATGAATATATAATAAAATATGTGATACTATTTTTGTTAGTATCAAGCATTTTGGATGAGATCAAGAACGAGACTATAAGAATTTAGGTCAAAAATAGATAATATATACCATTATAAAAATAAACGATGGTCTGTTACAAGAGGTTCAATGGAATGTGGCGAGAGTAGATTTGAGTTTCCTATTTGTTATTTTGGTTTTTCCTGTGTCTGACAACTAGGATGGGCTGAGTATCCACCTTCTGCAGACGGTTCGGTTCAAAACGGTCGAAAATTTGCGGTTTTAAAGAAATAAATCGAGATCATTGAAAATTTTAAAAACCGGACCGAACCCCTTTCAGGCGCTTTGCGGACGGCAACTAATAAAACTATTTGAAACGACATGTCGTCATCTGTGCTTAAACCCCAATAGGATTTAGGAAAGGAAATAGTTCCTCCTGGAAGTCATGGCTTAATCGCGGCAAGAAGTCCGTTCCTCGAAACTTCAAACTCTCCCTCGATTCCAATTGCATGAAATCCACAAACCCACAAGACTTGGAGAAGATCGAAAACCCTAGTCCTTCTGAGAACTCTTTATAGTTTTGCTCTGACGGCGGTGTTCGCTGCCTGGAATCGAGCATGATAACCATGTCCAGGTACTTGAGGCTTGTTGTTGAGACCAATTGTGAGGTCCGAACCGCATCCGCATTTTCATATATTTCTGATTTCAGTTCCGGCGGGTCATGTCGGTTTCGGAACCTGCCGTCGACCAGGAAGGTCCTGCATTACCCCTACACTGTAAGTGGAACCTTTCAATTTCTTTCATTTCTTTTTGTTTTTTTATACTGCTCCGATCAATTGATGGTTTTTCAATGAACTGTGTTTGTTACCAATTAGATTAAACCGAGAAACTTTTTTATTTGCCTAAGAGTTTTGTCTTACCATTGCTATGTTGAATGAAACAATGACATTATCAAAACGAAAGTTTGTCGATTGGTTTTGAATTGAGCATTATTTCAATTATGCTTTTCTGCTGTCCACACAGTTTTGTATTACTCGGTTGACTTCAAGGCTGCTTTCTGTTCGTTTATAAAGTGTTTTTACGCTGCGTTCCTATGTGTAAACATGTCCAAATTAGAAATTTTTGCAATAAATTTTTTGCTTCTGGCCTGCTGATCCAATCATAATTGTTGAGCATAATTTGTAGATGTTGTAGATAGGTGGAATCCAGATTATTTGTTAGAATCTGTTCTATGCCCCCATTATGAATACTTTTTGGATTTTTTTCTAAATAAAATCTAAGTTGGGCATATACATGGTATAGATATGGAAATCTTGACTGGGTTTTGCTATAAATCTTATCTTTCTGTATCTTATAGCCATTATTTTTTAGGTGGAGCCGTGTGGTATCTTATAGCCAATTTTTCTTCACTAATTTTTATTTAATAAAATTATGTTGTTTCATATCAATTATTGGAAACCCGGAATTTGGCAACTTAATAGTCATTTAATGTCTCATCAATGCCCATTCATCTTTTTTAAGAAATTCTACTATTCTACTTGGTACAGAATTGAATCTTCTTCTTCTTCACATCTTATCTGCATATATGTTTTAGATGATTGTGCATGAGTTATGCTTTGCAAAGTAAACATTTAATTTTGTCTCTACATGTCTAATACAGAATTGCATTGCATCTTTCCCAGTTGGCGATCCTCAGATCTGGCTGTTTTTTGCCAACATGGGTAAACGTTTTAGCCATCAGTCATATCCTACAGATACCTCTCCTGATGAAGAGAAAGTGATAGATGAAGTCTTGAATCAGATTGTTGCCACAAGGGATAATGCCTCAAGGAGTAGCCACGAAACCTTTGATGCTTGCATTTATAAGATGTGTAGATCTGGAAATCTTGCAGCTGCTGCTCAATTACTTAAATCTTTGTGCGATGGAAAAATATCACTTAGCGCCTCCAAGGCATATGATATGGTTCTGCTTGCAGCAAGTGAAAGGGGAGACACTTCCCTTTTTTGTCAAGTTTTTAAAGATTGCCTGGTATCCTGTAAGTCGTTGAGTTCAGCCACTTACATGAATCTTGCCAAAGCTTTTATCAGCACAAATGATGTTGGCAAGCTACTGGAATATGTCAAAGAAGTAATTGAGATGACCTTTCCAAACTTAATAGTTATAAACAAAATTATCTTTGCCTTCTCCAAATGTAGGGAGATTGAAAAAGCCCTTCGGATATTTAATCAGATGAAGCTTCTGTCATGTAAACCAGATTTGTATACATATAATATCATTTTGGATATGCTAGGTCGTGCAGGTCGCATGGATGAAATTCTTCATATGTTTGTTTCCATGAAAGAAGCTGGCATTGCCCCAGATATTGTATCCTATAATACATTAATAAATAGCTTAAGGAAGGTGGGTAGACTAGATATGTGCTTGATTTACTTCAGGGAAATGGTTGCAATGAGAATTGAACCTGATCTGCTTACTTACACTGCTATGATAGAGAGTTTTGGTCGATCCGGAAACATTGAGGAGGCTTTGGGACTCCTTAGGGAAATGAAGCTTAAGAATGTTTATCCCTCAAACTATATCTACAAATCCCTTATCAGTAATTCGATGAAGATTGGTAAGGTGGAGTTGGCTATGAGCCTTCTTAACGAGTTGAAATTAAGTGGTTCAAATCTTGCCAATCCAAAGGATTTCAAACGAAGAAAAAGATAACCAATAACAAGGTTTTCCATAGTGACTCGAGGTTGAGAAACCTGTGTATGACTTCAGACTTCAAACGGAGATGTGCCAAGGTGATTCTATCTGCAGGTATTATTTCTAATCATTTATCATCCACTTTCATTTGTGACATGATATACAAAACTTCTAGTAGAGAACTAGAGATACATTTTCACAAGGAGCTGGGGTTGATTTTAGGATTAATGTATGAAAACCATAGTTTGATAGATTGTCTGTCATGTAAGATGTTACTGAGGTGTTTTGAGTAAAGTGATGTGCAGAAAATTGTGTCATGTTCCAACAATGTTCCATTGTTTCTCTTTATGATAGATCTACAGAGAATGATAATGGTTCGGTTGAAGAGCCTTAGAAAAACATGTAACTAATTGTGAAGGGTTAGCTTGAAATCTAACATCCATGGCTACACAGCATCTTCTGAAGGTTGTTGCTGTTACTTGCTTCACCGGTGAAAAGTATCTTCAGTAGAGGGAGATGAAGTGGGCGGAGGAAAACATGGAGGTCAGGAGATTTCTTCGCTGGGGTTAGTTTTGTAAGGAGCGCTGTATGAACCACAACTGATTTTTTGCTTGTATCGGTCCATTAGATTCACTGAGTAGTCATTCCAAAACCAAACCAATGAAGGGACCCTTTGCCCCTGATGCAGATTTTCCATGTTCGTGTATAGCTTATGGTGTAATCTACCATTCCAAGCAAAGTATGAATATGTTGTAATATTACATTTTTTATAAATCAATTTTGCTTCATTTTGTTTTGCTGTGGAAAATTATGAAGTTACAGTGATTAGTTGAATTACTATTTTAGCAAAAGGTCAAAAAAGATAGACAAAGATCGTTTGTTTTACAATAATAAGTACTGATGATAATATGTATGTAAGAAGAGAGTTTAAATTTTAAAATTTATCTTTTTATTGAGCCACTAGCGATTGAAACATGAAGCTAAATAGCATTTTGTACCAATACGAACTGTAATTTCCTTTGCAATCTGCCAATGAACCCTTACAACTTTTTATCAATGAAAAGTTATTTACTGTTCATAAAAAAAATTTTGAACAGTTGCATTGAAACCAAGCATGGAGATCAGGCGAAGAGTTAAAATAGCGAGGGCCACTGAAGATCGAGCGAGCACGTTGAAGTGATTGTTCAAAAGCCTTGAACTAGAAGATATGTTGAAGCCCTTTATAACTTTCTTGTCCAGTCTGATACTACTAGATACTTTGTGCGCCAATTGATCTCCTTGTTAGAATTCAAATCAAGCGTTGAGTTACAACTTCCAAAAAGTATTTATGTTATTGCAGTAATCTTCTAATTTGTCTTTTTACATTCTTATGTCAACCTTATATATTTGTCTATGAGCAGGAGATCTTGTGTTAGAATCCTTATATTTTATTTCTTTCCCATTTATAATGATTTCCACTTTTGGGATCTTGTGCAATTATCCAAGCCCACAAGGAAAACGAGGGAGACAGCTAAGAAAAAGAAAGGATACCCTAGTTGGTCAATACACACGCACACACATGCACACACATGCGCTCATGCAAGTTTATGAATTCAATTCCAACAAAGTGGGGAGGAACATGAATTAGAGAGATTTCTTTGAACACATTGAAGATTCGTTCAATAACTCAGAGAAATTTTCTTGGAAATCTAAGGATTTGCGCTAATTTTAGGCGATTTGACTTTTATGAAATATTACTCCGTGTGATTTCTTCTTTGACATCACACAATTTGCGGGAGCTTGAATTGAAGCACTATGACAACAATGAAAATGGAGATATAGGTCATAAGCATTTTTGCACTCTTTTGCCGAGCAATATTTTTTCCTTCAACTCACTAACCGTTCCGAAGATAGAACGTTTGCTTATTTAGAAGAAACATCTGATTTTTGGTAATTGTTGTGCACCGAAGAAATTAAGCATTTAGAATGGGACTAAAATGATTTCAAATTTCAATATTTTAAAAGATGAAAATAAATTATTAATTACGTTTCAACCAAATGAATTTCAAATTAATATAAATTAAAAAATTTTATTTGGATGTTGACAAAAAATGAAAGCAATGTTATGTCCTTAATCTTGTATCATATTGTATAAATGAATAATAATAATATAATATCTTAATATGAGATAGTGATGCCAACTAATGAAATCCTTTAATCACGTTAACTTAATAAATATCTTAATATTTTCCTTACCCTTTTCATTCATTTTCTTTTTTATTGTCGTGCCCATGCTTCTTTTTTCATTCATTTTCTTTTTTACTGTTGTGCCCGTGCTTCCGTATTTTTTGACCTGATATGCAAAACTGATTATTTCTAATCATTTATCGTTCCCTTTCATTTCTGACATGATATACAAAACTTCTAGTAGAGACATCCACATGGAGTTGGGGTTGATTTTAGGATTACTGTGTGAAAACCTTGGATGAATAGTTTGATAGATTGACTGTCATGTAAGATATTACTCAGGTGTTTTAAGTAAAGTGATGTGCTTCCAACAATGTTCCACTATTTCTCTTTATGATAGCTCTAAAGATGTTAAAAAGAGGAATAAATTATCCCTCGACCCAAAAGCAAATGGGAAGGAAACAACAAGACAGGAGTTTGAACATAGAATCTCCCGTTCTAATATCATCTTAAGAATAAATAAACTACTATAGAATCCAAAAGTTTAACTTGATGAGTTGGATAAATTTAATTATATCTAAGATAGAGAATAATAATGGTTCAGAGTTAAGAGCCTGAGAAGAACCTGCAACTTATTGTGAAGGGTTAGCTTGAAATCTAACATCCATGGCTACACGGCATCTTCTGAAAGGGCGTTGCTGTTACTCGCTTCACTGGTGAAAATATCTTAAAAAATTATCTTTCATTGAGCCACTCAGCAATTGAAACGTGAAGCTAAATAACATTTTGTACCAATACGAACTGTTATTTCCTTTGCCATCTGCTAATGAACAATTACAACTTTTTATCAATAAAAAGTTATTTTTGTTCAAAAAGAAAAAACTGAACAATTACGTTGAAACCAAGCATGGAAATCAGGCGTAGAGTTAAAATAGTGAGGGCCACCGAAGATCGAGCGAACACGCAGAAGTGATTGTTCAAAAGCCTTGAACTTGAAGATATGTTGAAGCCCTTTAAATGGTGGTTAGTTTCAGATGCGGCTTGAGTCTCTCCCGAAGATAAACTTTCTTGTCCAGTCTGATACTACTAGAAACCTTGTGCGCCAGCTGACCTGCTTGCTGGGTACGAAAACAGAAGAATTCAGATCAAGCATTGAGTTACAACTAAACTGTGTAAATAAGTTGAAAATTTCTGATGAAAAGCAGCAGTTAAATCACCTTGCATATACAGAATACCAGAGCCACTGAGTGCTGCGACCCATGGAAACCAAGTCTCCAGGGAGTTCTGCAGCAGCTTGTTCTCCTCCTAAAGGAGCGAACTGTCCCAAGTGCTTGTACCTGTAAGTCATGGTGAATGCAAACTCTTTGGCCCAGATGCAGAGAGAAGGGTTACGGTGCAACTATTAATGAACTTTTTTGTTATCTAATCGTGCCCCATGAGATAGCAATATAAAATCTCTTTATAACATGTCAAAGAAGGTACTAAATACCAGTTTCATAAAGGATGATCTATTTGCTAGAAATTCTGAAGGTGTTTCTTAAACAGATTAATTGAGTTCCTCAGACATGAATTTGGCATCAACTACTATGTCTAGCTAAAAACTAGCACTTATGGCATTTATACCTCAGTGCTTGCCCCTTGAGATTTGAAACTTAGTTAATTGTCCTTTCTCCATACTTTGTCATTTTGTTTTGATATTTTGGGATAGATTTCCTTAACATTTGGCGTTTGCTTGAATTCTAATAGGGATTGTTGGGATAGTATGGAGGAGGTGTTTCTTCACCACATCTTTTGTAATGGAGGACACTTCTGTAGCAACATTTTTTGATATATATCTGGATAGAGAGATAAAATAATCTCGATGAGGGTTAGATTTCTTGGGCGGAGGTTTAGAGCGCAGCTCACTTCCATGCCTCTTTTTGGGTGCTTCCTTCGACTTTTTTTCTTTTTTCTTTTTTGGTAGTTGTCACTCATCCAAGATCCTAAACAATTGAAGAGTCCTAATGAAATTATTTTTATTTCTGCTTCTTTCTTTGTTGGTTTCAGTTCAATGGGCTCTTTTTGATGTCCTTGTCTTTCGTACTTTCATTTATAGCAGGTTTCACACACACACACACTTAAAGCATAACAATTGAACTTCATTAAGATGTTAACTTAAACTACTTCATCCGGCATGGAACATGGGATAGAAAGGATAAGGATTGAAGCTGCAGGCATACCGAAAGGGAAGAAATAGATGACGTCCAGAACTCTTAAACTGTCGTGGGCCTTCAGGATTCTCAGTGCAATGCTCCCTGCGGTTGAAGCACCTGGAAAGATACGCACCCTGCTGGGCAGCAACCTGAACGGGGAAGGATTCATTAAATGACTTGAGAGTCTTTCCTATGTAGATTGCAAGCTCACATGAGAGCTGAGTTGAACATGTCACAAGTCGACATTAACAAATATGTGCATTTACCTGTGCAGTAGCAGGAAGACTTTTCATCTGCGAGTCAGCGTGAGAAAGAGCTGACTTAAATCCTTCAATATCTACACCGTTCTCATGCCCCTGAGAATCTTTCAACAGATCTTTAACATCGCGTAGATGTTTGCTCCTCAAATATATTTCCACTTGAGGATACCTTATGAGGATATCATCTATAACATCTTGAAATTCTTTAACTGTCAAGGTTCCAGAATCATCTTTATCTGCAGCTTTAAATATGGTGGAGATATCTTCCTAATGAAAACATTATATTAAAATCACTAAGTAATCAAGAACTGAAGTTACTAATTACAAAACTACTCTTGTGAGAAATTCCTCAGCAGCCAAAGAGAAATCCAGAGGTTAGATTCCCAAAAGTCAAGTACTTCAACAATGAACAGAATTTAAGAGCCTCAGTGAATTAATAAAATGGTTGAAAATTTAAGAGCTTCAAAACATCGATCAAATTTGATAAGTGTAGGACTGCTGTAAAAAATTGCTCTCATCAAAATCAGATTGTCAGACAGACCTTGTAGTAAAATATAATTGAGCAGTGATAGTATCATATACCATAATTTTGCGTTGGTCAATTGTAGCACAATCACCAATGGCATACACATTCTGAGTGCCCTTCACTTGAAGCCATTCATCAGTAGCTAGAATACGTCTCTTGCCCTGTATGTCAAAAAGAACTTGCGACATAAATAGTTAAGCATAGAATAACAACCCATGAAAAGCGATGCATCAAGTGAAACATACAAGCCCAGTTAGAAAGAATGCATGTCAAGTCTAGCGAAATCCATAATTTTGTTTTTATCCGTTCTTCCATGCCCATCATACTCACAAACGCATAATCTCAAACCAACAAACCTGGCCAATCTGCTCCATGAAATCCTTCACAACAGGACGAGTCATGATGCCCGTAGACCACACAATTAGTCCATGCGGTATTGAACAGAATTCTCCAGTTGATTTCACCTTCATCTTAATGTCCTTATCAGATACACTGACAACCCGACATCCTGTGTACACATCGATACCATCTCTTTGGAACTTTTGTTCCGCAAATGAACTAATTCTTTCATCAAACCTGCATTAAGCAAGCAAGATTACATCAACTTGTCTAACCAATAGATCAATATTAATCGACAGTGAGATTTTTTTAAAAGTAATCGTCTTGAAGGTTACAGCATGTATCTTATGCATTAATTTTGTCAAGGTTCTCTTGCTACACAAAAGCATTGTACGCTCCAAAAAGATTGACAGAATTGTGAGTTCTGAATTAATTTTCTCGCGTGCCAGAAAAGGCAGGCTTAGTGTAAACTTTAATTCTTTCCTTACGCATTCAAGATGTGATCTCCTGATTGAATCACTGAAATTTTCACCAGATCTTTAACCGTAGGATATAGATTAACTAAATCTTCTTCCAAAAAGTCATTAAGCTCTGCAGCAAATTCAATCCCAGTGGGACCCCCTCCAACAATAACGAAATGAAGATTTTCCCTTCTCTCTTCGTCACTAAGACTGGGAATAACAGCCATTTCAAAGCAATCTATAACACTTCTGCGGATCTTCAGAGCATCTTCCACTTCCTGCATGACATGGAATGGTTTCCCAATCATCATAACATGGGAATATATGGCTATCAACAAAAGAAGCAAGAACCGAGATAGAAAAATTGCCTAACAAAATTTCAGAAAGATGGCTAAGCCCAAAGAGATGTATGTCGGACTATGAAAGAAAACTGATTACCTTGAGAAAATGACAGTTCTCCTTGACACCAGGCGTATTAAAAGTATTTACTTGTGCTCCCATTGCTATTACCAAATAGTCATATTCTAAATCGAACTCCCTATTTCCAACCAAGTTATTGTCAACATTAGACCGGCAGAAAACCTTTTTGTTTGCAGCATCAATCTTAATGCATTCAGCTTCCCAGAATTTAATTTCACCTTTTCTCTGTTGCAGAAGTAATACAGTTGTAATTAGGCGGCTTCATAATTTCCAATTAAGTAATTACAAACAGGACAATATTTTTAACACAAATTAAACAACAAATCTCCTCATAAATTAAGTACATACTATGCTATTGATCAAATTGAGTTGTATCACACAAATTACCTTCTTCACGATGTTTCGAACTGGTTCGACAATGCTCCGTGCTTCAACTGTTCCACATGTAACACTAGGTAACAAAGGAGTAAATGAGAAATAATTCTGAGGCGAAACAACCTGAACATCATATATTGAAGCATCCAGATCCTTGAGGAAACTGATACCGGCCCATCCTGTTCCAAGCACCAGAACTCTCTTTTTTGGGCACTCCTCAATAGGATTGCCAGTGTCTGATCGTGATTCTGCATATGCCAATAGACCTCCGCTACTGCAGTCAAGACAAACCACTTCAGAGCCCAAAACTAAAGATTTTGATTAGTCCTCTTAACAGATTTTTCCATTTAATACTACAAACCACAATTTATAGATTTCATTTCATTTTTACTCATCACCACAAACAATTAGTATATCCAGTTCGACAATAAACCTCATTCCATATGCTAGATGACGAAACAAATATGCGAACCAGCCATGGATGGAGAAACCGAGAGCTAAAACATGAAATCAGATCTTAAAAAACCGAGATCTATGCGCTGGTTTCAATGATCATACATTACCGTCACGTCGGTCGTCATACCAAGATAAATAATCTATTCCCTGACCCTTACTCGATTATCCATTGCTTCTTGAAACTCAAAACAAAGCGATATTAGAGCTCTAAAAAGTCAAAACAACAAATCTCAAATCAGGTCGAACGAATGTACTAACTCTGAGAAGAAATTGGCATTGTCCTCGATCCCTTCCATCCCGAAATCAGAGTTAGAAAAAAATTACTCTATGGTAGATGAAGTTAGCTGGAATTAGAGAAAAATAGAAGCAGAAACCTGAGGGTGCTGATGACCAGGAGCTTTGAGTATGTGTGGGAGCCATGAAAGGCTCTTGAAGCTCTAGTGAAGAAGGAGGAAAATGTCATCTCAGCCGAAGAATGCAATAAGAGCTCCAAGAGAGCGAGCGAATACCCAACACTTCCGAAGAAGAGTTCTCGATCAGTTGACAGTATGGGAGAATACAGGCAAGGGATATTATTAGAAGGAAAAGGAAAATGAAAAATGAAAAATTACAGATTTTCTGCTGTTTCCTTGTCATTTTGTCCACGTAAGCAGCGCCAGGTAGGTGCTCTCCACATGCCACGTGTAAATTCTCTTCCAGATTTATATAAATGGATAAGGGCTGTCCTAACCCAACAAGACAATGACAACTGAAATTTAAATGGTTTTGTTTTTAACTACCCCATTAAAGAGCGTAACTACATAAATATTGAACTGTCGAATATAGTATTATGAGTAGGGGTAGAAAAATTCTAACTTTCCTTTGCAGAAAAAAGAAATCAAACTAGCGATGGGTAATATGAAAATATAAATTTGAAAATAATAGATTTAGTGAAAAATGGAGGTGTATTTCATATTTCAAGTGTTTTCAAATACGTGTTTGATACTAGATTTTTAGACATTGAATCTCAATTTAAAACAGTGTTCAAGCCTCAAGGTGTATTTAATAATATATTTAAAAATTAGTGGTAGTTATCTAGTTCAATCTAAAATATTAGCGATATTTTATTAGTTATAAATTTTGTACAACTATTATTTTATAATATTATATGATTTATAGTATATTATAATTTACATGTTTTAATTTTAACCACAATAAAATTAGTTTATAACAATAGTGCCCATGATGATACGTATTTTATTTTTTAAAAAATGAAAAAATACAAAAATTGAAAAGTTAGGATTTGGGTATCAATGATAGGCGCATTTTACTCCTTATGATTGTTGACAGAAAATTTTGTTTTATGAAGTTGAACTTGATTTTGTATTAATTTATATAGTATATACAATCTCTAGTATATATTTCTTTAATTCTTTTTTTATACGGTAAACTTGACTTAAAGGACTAGAAAGCTTATTCTCGAATCAAAGAGGTTAGAGTCTTTGACTTCTAATTCGTTTTAGGTATTCGATTTTTGGCTTATTGATTTCTTTGGATCAGCCTCTTGACTTGTCGATCTCTTGGATCAGGCTTTGGAGTTGTTGTTGGATTGATCTTTTGATTTTGTCAATCTTTTTGTAGCGATTCTATGGACTTGTCAACCTTTTTGGATTAGCTCGATCAATATCTTGAAGTCGTGTATGCTTCAAGTGTCTTGAATTTGTCTTTGGAGTATTTTAATCTTCAAAGTGTATGACCTTCAAATACTTGGAATCTAATAGTTCGAAGTCTTTGATCTTTAGAGCTTCCAATCCTTCAACTTGTCTTTGGAGTACTATGGTCTTCAAAGTCTTCTAATTTTATGAGGGATCCTAAACCCACAAGATATAACTACTTCATTTAAGAGTATAATTATATAATTACTAAACTATAGAACAAACAGTATTGTAATACAGTCATAGTTCAGTAGTAATTGACATATACCTCCAACTAAGAGGTCGTGAGTTCGAATCTCCTCCCCAATATGTTGTACTAGTTTATTATTACACCCAAAAAGAATGAAATAAAATAAAGATGAAAGATAGATATTTAACATTTATCAACTTGAATGTCTGCCTCGTATGTGAAAGGCATGAAATGATTTGTAATTAATTTAAATTATTTTATCTTAAATAATTTTTGTTTTTGTTTTTGTTGCAGACGACTTTATCTTAATTCAAGAGATAAGGTGTGGCAGTATTAACATTAGCCAATCCTTAAGGTGAGAGAATAATCTTTTGCCTGAAAGAGAGGAAAAAAAAAAGTGAAAGAACAAGAGACAGAAAGAATATTAAAATTGTCAGAGATCTTCCTTTGCTTTCGACAAAAGAAATTAAAATTCTTGTTCAAAAAAAAAAAATTAAAATTCACTGAATACAAAAAAGAGCGAGCGATATGTTGGTATATTATAGGACCCAAAAGTAATTAAGCTAAAAAAAAAATACAACTTTTCTCAGTTTGCCTCTATTCCTAAAATTTTGCTTACATTTATTCTCAAAAATAAATTTTGTTTACATTAAAAATAAATAAATTAAAAAAAGTCACTTCGATCGATATTCATGATTTCCATTTCAAAATCAATTCGCAATGGGAGGGATAGCTCATGCCTATTATAAACCCTTTTTAGGTCAATGTGAGATCCTTAACCACTTTTACCTTTAAATTTTAAAAAGAAAAATGTGTTTTAAAATAATTAAACACGCTTTTTAACTTTACTATTACTCAATTTTTGTAATATCAATTATACGGTTATTTTCATAACTTAAACTACAAAATCTTACCAGTGTGACATTTGATTAAAATTGTTCATTTTGTTTTTGTTGTTTCCAAAAGTTGTATACAATTTTGAGAATGTTTCTGGAAAATGAAAAACAAGAAATAAAAATAGTTGTCAAAGACTTAAATTTCTTAATAAAATTAGAAATAGGGAAAACGTTACCAAACATGTCCTATACAACTTTTAGATTCTCATCCCGCCATGTATTTTTACATCAGAGATCATTCAAACTATTCCAACAAAACAGTTAGCACTTCAAATTAATAGGACAAAAATGGACAAAAGGAACTAAAAAGAAGTGGTTTCAACATTCAAGATAGTTTTAAAATGGCTTACTCCATTTAGAATAATCATGAATTTCTCTAAAGAAGTTCACTATTTCTCTTTTATTTTCTGAAATTTTGAAGTTATTCATTCGAAGGCTTCTCTTCTGTGTGTGTCTCCAGCTTTTCACAAAGTAATAGAGGCTGCATGATGTTCCATCTTCTTCTTCCTCTTTAAAATTAGTGTATTCAAATGGCATACCA